TGCCGGCCCGCGGGCTGGTTTCATCATACCGGAGTCGCACCTACCCCATTGCCGGCAATGGTGAAAAAGCTCCGATACGTCACGCGATGTCACATGATGTCACGAGTTTGACATGCCTGATCTAGCGTCATGTTTGCATGGGCTGCTGGGAGTTGCAGTTGAACAGCATTTAGAACAAGGGTATCCAACCTTGGTCACTTTAAGGCTTGTTGGCTCATGCTGGCTGGAGAATTCTGGGAGTTGAAGTCCACAAGTCTTCAAGTGGCCAAGGTTGGAAGAAACCCATTCCTGCTTTAAATTTTGACAAGATTAATAAATGTTCTGTGTGAGTGAGATGGGAAATACCTAAATTTGACAAATAAATAAATGTCATGGCTCTGTTGTGTCAAGACAGGCTGATTTTGTTGTATAAATATTTTGCTTAGTTGGATTGTGTTTTCATTGGAATAAATTTTGTTATTTGCCTAATCGCAGTCAATGTTAGTAAAAACAGGACAGACTGCCTTGTTTTTGATGAACAAAAACAAGTGAGGTGTCTATGTTTCCTTATTTAGGAATGTCTCTTGAAGGGAAGAGCAAGACATTTTTGGGATGAATATCCTTTAATGATGCCATCACACAAATAATGTACCTTGGGTCATTTGGAAGATGACATCCTTATGCAAGTGGGTTTACTTTTTGGTGTAGCATGATGTGTGCGAATGTGATCACTAAACAAGGCAAAGATATTTTCTTTTTGATTTAGTGGAACGGATTTCAAAGCATGATTGGTTGCTGCCTTTTGTTGCAACTTTTTATTCCCATTAACTTCGCTCTGTCTCATGTAATCTTCACTGTTCCTTACTCTTTTTCATTATATTCTACACACCTATATTTTTTTCTCTCCACTATAAAATATTTTGCTTTCATTCTTATTTTTTGCAATAATCATTCTCTTACATGCATTTTTCTCCCCCATTAACTCTTTTACTTCATCATTCCACAAAGCACCTTTTTTAATATTTCCATTAGCGTAACCTCACAGGCTTCTAGGGCATTTTGAACGATGATTTCTTCACTCTCTT